GTTGATATTCATCAGCTATGTCATGTAATGTTAACTTGGGATTTTGTTCTAGCTGATTGAGCAGTCGAGTTCGGATATCTGTGAAACGAGGAGATTGGAGACTGCATATGAGGATCAAGGCTTTGAACTGATCATCTGTTAAGGACCTGAGTCGAAATCTCTCACATTCTCGGTTGACTGTGCCAACGTGAGTAAGAAAATCATCATTTTCATTCATTGTCAGCTTGAGGCAACGATAACGTATGCTGAATAATGAGGAGTGGTCTCCGAAATGTTCACGCAGCAGCTTTATTGTATCATCGAAACACTTGTCACGTGGTTTCTGGGGTAAAATTAGGTTGCAGTACCGTTCATATTCTGCCGGACCCAATTTACGTAACAACACTCGCACCTTCCAGGCATCGTCTTGTGAGGCGAGATCAACAGTGAATAAATCCTCATAACGTTGATACCATGTGTCAAAAGTGACATTAGCCTCTGGGTCATAATTGAACTGTGAAATACTGTTCACAATTCCGTCGACAGATGGTAGCATGGTATGATTGGGATTGCTTGAAGGTGAAGCTGGACCAGTCTGTTGGTTGACGAACATTTCCATTAATTTCAATTGTTGTTCAAACAATAATTCCAATTTAGAATAATCCATAGTAAATTGTTATGTTGCTGCTGCTGAGTGGTTAATAGTAGTTTTCCCCCGTCGCCAAATTGTTATGTACTCGTCGCCAAATTATTGTTATGGACTGGTCGAGAAACTAATAGTCCTGACGCGAGAAGGCGGAAATCAGAAGACCACTAGGTTTGCGATGATACTTCTATTGTCCAAACACAAGGAGACGAAAATAAATGGTCTCACACCAAAGTGGTAAGTAAGTAAAGTAGTTGTAAAGTAGTTCACACAAATTGTGAATGCGAATATATATAAATGTTCCAGACAAAGCGTGGGAAAAATCATTAGACAGTCTTAACATGAATGGCTAATTATAATGGAGTGTCGATCCAATTATACATAGCGAATATAGCAGACATGTCAACAACCATATATGGATATATGTCACCAAGCAACGGACTGTCAACAAACACTCATATTATATATAATATAATATAAGGAGAATACACATTATTAAAGGAGACAAGTTCATACAAGTGAAGTGGTCACAGACTAACCGAGCAAACAGAAAGAGAGACCAACATACACACACACACACATAAATATATATGTGGATACATATCACCTCCCCTTTTGAGAAGATGGATGATTAGTAGGATGTTTACCTGGGGGTTTATCTGGAACCTTTGGGCTTGTTGTTGACGCCTGTCGTTTCGTCTGTCTGTTGGGTTTGCGGCTTCGGCTTCGTCCGGAATTGTCTGGCATTTTATGCTTCTTGACTGCATTGCATAGAGAATTTAGTGGGACATCAGCCAGATGCAAACGATCGAACCAATCAAGTCCCAAAAGATTTAAATCACTCTTGGTGACGTAGCAAATTCCTGTGAATTTGGTATTGCGGAAGGAAACAGAACATTTGAGTTCACCAATTAGTTTGAGCCGCCCACCACAGGCGCTGAGAAAAGTCTGGGAAGTATATCCGATAGGTGGTCTGCCAATATTATTCCAAAGTTTCTCTGATATAACAGTAATATCAGAGGCGGTATCTAGCTGCAGACGTGCATCATGACCATTCATCTGAAGGTCAATATATTTCCGCATAGCTGGTGTTGTGACTTGACGGGTTGCGCGTAGACTCAATGATCTCCTTGGAGATTTAGGACCGACCGTTTGTCGAGCTTTCGCTGGATTTTGACATCTGGGTTTGCGTGGCTGACAAAAACCATTTTTATGACCGACGATGTTGCACTTGCTGCAACGATGATTTTTGTACGGACAAGACTTTACAAAGTGCCACGCACCACAATGCCAGCATGGTGATGAAGGGGTCTTCTTTGTAGTATTTTGTGAAGTTGGACGAGTATGTGTAGATTTCCGCGGGACATTAGAAGAAGAAAGTGGGTCAGGAGTGGATGATGAGAGATTTTTGCTCTTTCGTAATGCACGAATATCAGAGCTTCTCGAAGGTGTTGATTCGACCAGGTGTGTGTCTTTCTGCAGATTAATCAGCCGTTGATATTCATCAGCTATGTCATGTAATGTTAACTTGGGATTTTGTTCTAGCTGATTGAGCAGTCGAGTTCGGATATCTGTGAAACGAGGAGATTGGAGACTGCATATGAGGATCAAGGCTTTGAACTGATCATCTGTTAAGGACCTGAGTCGAAATCTCTCACATTCTCGGTTGACTGTGCCAACGTGAGTAAGAAAATCATCATTTTCATTCATTGTCAGCTTGAGGCAACGATAACGTATGTTGAATAATGAGGAGTGGTCTCCGAAATGTTCACGCAGCAGCTTTATTGTATCATCGAAACACTTGTCACGTGGTTTCTGGGGTAAAATTAGGTTGCAGTACCGTTCATATTCTGCCGGACCCAATTTACGTAACAACACTCGCACCTTCCAGGCATCGTCTTGTGAGGCGAGATCAACAGTGAATAAATCCTCATAACGTTGATACCATGTGTCAAAAGTGACATTAGCCTCTGGGTCATAATTGAACTGTGAAATACTGTTCACAATTCCGTCGACAGATGGTAGCATGGTATGATTGGGATTGCTTGAAGGTGAAGCTGGACCAGTCTGTTGGTTGACGAACATTTCCATTAATTTCAATTGTTGTTCAAACAATAATTCCAATTTAGAATAATCCATAGTAAATTGTTATGTTGCTGCTGCTGAGTGGTTAATAGTAGTTTTTCCCCGTCGCCAAATTGTTATGTACTCGTCGACAAATTATTGTTATGGACTGGTCGAGAAATTAATAGTCCTGACGCGAGAAGGCGGAAATCAGAAGACCACTAGGTTTGCGATGATACTTCTATTGTCCAAACACAAGGAGACGAAAATAAATGGTCTCACACCAAAGTGGTAAGTAAGTAAAGTAGTTGTAAAGTAGTTCACACAAATTGTGAATGCGAATATATATAAATGTTCCAGACAAAGCGTGGGAAAAATCATTAGACAGTCTTAACATGAATGGCTAATTATAATGGAGTGTCGATCCAAATATACATAGCGAATATAGCAGACATGTGAACAACCATATATGGATATATGTCACTAAGCAACGGACTGTCAACAAACACTCATATTATATATAATATAATATAAGGAGAATACACATTATTAAAGGAGACAAGTTCATACAAGTGAAGTGGTCACAGACTAACCGAGCAAACAGAAAGAGAGACCAACATGCACACACACATATAAATATATATATGTGGATACATATCAAAAATCTAGATTGGCTGACGCGAATAAAATAAGAAATCTAGAGAACAGTTCAGCTATACCACTCACCACATGCAACTACACAGAATCATACAATAGGATAGGATAGGATGACAGTTTTAAAATCTACTGTTACGGCAAGGTGGAGGGAGAGATTGATAACAGAAGATTTGTTCATCGAATCAACTGAGGCGAATACATGTAATAGGAATGATTCAACGCCTATCCACCCAGATATCTGGAAAATTCTTCTACCCAAAAACGACGACAAATAGGAGATGACAAAGAAGAATATAAAACTCAAGTTTCGATGTCGTGTGATGATAACTGATGAAATGATTATGAACAATAATAGATTGTGTTCGAAACTGTGTCATCCAGTAAATAATACTTGTAATAAACAAACTAATATGGGTATACTTAGTACCACAGTTCCCAAGTTTTACACACATATATAATAATGTGCTAGTCAGTGCTGAAATTCACATACTTCAATTTCATTTCTTCAATTTACAACACAGTTTCATATCTGAATATACTTATACTACTTTTCTAAACATAATAAGCAACACAGAGAAATTGTACGTGGAGAGATACTGAATACCCAGATACGTTGCATCACTTCGAGTAAACGTGTGCGGGCGTGGTGCTAGTAACCCCCCCCCTCCGCCAAAAACAACTTAACCAAATTGCTACAGAAACCTCAACGCATAAATATATTAAAAATTCTAAAAAAATATAAACAATAACCTTATTTTTTTGCTGGAATTGGGAAATGAAATGACGCAGGCTGGTGAAAGCCTTCAGAAAGCCAGTCAGTCAGCCGATGTGCCTTCTTTCGATGGAAATAAGGACGTGGGATGTTCGTACAATGTACGAAGCTAGAATTTGCAGATGACCTAACCTGGAAACCACAACAACATCATCATTTGAATATTTTTTACATTATCCCAATGCGATGCTTAAAAAAAGCCCTGTCGATGTAAACAATAAATTCATTTTCTTTTCTAACAGTGTATTCTCGTTATTACTTAATGAATTCAAGTTAAATATAGCAGACAAGAAAAGGATGAACCAACTAACTAACTATTATGACATAAATGACATTGATGAGGCAAAAAAGTTGAGGAATTTGACACAGAAAAGAGTACATAGAAGGAAGAAAACAAAATGAAGTCAAGTCAAACGTAACAAGAAAAGTCAACAACATTCAAAATATGTGTGTGAATTATGCGACTAGAACAATTGATAAATCTGTCGATGAAATGATTTATGAGTAGTATGATAAATATGTCATAAATAAATTCATCCATTCATTTATCTAATTATATTGAGAGTAACAGAATAGATGTGGTAGTATATGTGTGATAGTAAATTACCCTCCTTCCCCTTCTATTTCTTTTTTGAGACATTGTCATCAGTATTCATTGATTTTAATAATGTTTCTGGTTGTTTAGTAATGGTTGGTTGTTCAACTTTGGGTGGCTGTTGTTTGCTTAATAACATTTCATTCACTTCATCACCATCAACATCATCATTATTATTCTTATTACACTTCTGTGTAGTCATTAATCCATCTCTACTGGTAGGCGATGTAACTGGCATTAGCCTTGTTGTTGCCGCTGGTGTTGATACTGTTGGTGTTTGTCTATTTTCACGATGTGGTGGTGGCGGCATTGGACAACATTTCGATGATGGTGTAGTCAATGCTTGACGATAATGTGCACCGACTAGGATACAAACGACAGGTTTACAAGCAGCAAACATTGTATCCAGTAGTTGATTAATCATTCGAAATACTTCAGGGTCATATGTGATATAATTTTCAGTGGATAAAACATGTAATAAGAATTTCGGTATTTTACAGATAAGGAGAATTAAACCAATACAGACTGCGGTAATGACATTAGCATTTTCACGTGTTTCATCAATTTGTGGTAATTGAAAAAACAGGTAGGCTAATTCTTGTTCAATAGGATCTAAGCAGGCGATATTATTATCACCACCACCACCACCACCTTTAGTCGGGTGATGCTGATGATGATAAGGGGAGTGTTTTGGGATTGTTGTTGTTGTTGTTGTATTATTATTATGAACAGATTGATTTGCCTTTTCATCAGGAATGTTGAAATCAACCGCGTCAGCGTCACCATCATCATCAACAGATGATGACCATGATTTTGATGGATTATCAGAGGATTTAACACCTTCACGACATTCTTTACCACACACACCAGCACGACAAACACATGCACAGGCTGTATCAGTGCATAGACTGGCAACAGCTTTCCATTTTGATGTATTTAAATTCACCATTTTCAGTACAATGATTGTGATTAATAATCCACAGGCTAAATAAGGTAGAAACATTTCAAGGGGTACTTTTAACCAATTGTCCATTATATCACTATTGAAAAAAATAGAGGACAGAAAGAAAAAAGAAAAGAAAAGGCGAAATTACTAATCAATTTATTTTCGTTTGATTCGATGGAGGATTTCATCATGAGATGACATCAGTTAGAGAACCATTAGAAAACCTGGGAGTACTGGACAGCTGTTTCGTCGCACTAGTTTGGAACTATTCAGCAGTACGCACGCACAAACAGGGTTCGAACCAAGGACCTTCTGCTTACAAGGCAAGCTAGTAGACCATTGAGCCACTGGGATCCGATTCAATGGTTCTTGAATTCTAACTTCTACCAGTTCACGATATGAAGCAACTATTTCACAATGTCTTCTTTGATGAGTTACTGCCTCATCTTCGACCTGCTGTACCCTAATGGTCACGGCATCCCACTAGAACCCGAGGTTAACTGCCTCATCCTGGGTTCGAACCCCGCTGGGTGCGTACTGATGAAGAGTCCTAAAATAAGACAAAACAGCTATCCAATACTTCCAGGTTTTCCAGTGGTTCTCTAACTGATGTCAGCTCATGGTGAAATCCTCCATTGCCTGCATGTTTCAAAGACAGTGTGTGTTACAAAGAGCATTTCGAACAGGATGCTGCAGACGTATATCAACAGCTGCCTTCGATAATGAACACCGCATGTCCAGAATGAAATGGCAACACAAGGAACTCTGAGAATGAGCCAATTAAGAACCTGCAAGCCAACAAATATTCTAAAGGAAACGGAGATAGACTCGGAAACATGCTGAAGAGACCGTCGAGTGGTATTACACTCCAGACCCTAGAGTGACACTCGAAGATAAACGACAACTTGGAGGAAATGGTATGGATGAGAGGAGATAAAGGTTTGAGTGCGATCGTGAAGACAGCTCAAGAAGGCTGTAGAGAAGAGAATGATGAAATAGAGGTGGATTGTTGAAGCCTTCTGTTCCACTCGGAACCCAAGGGAATAATAATAATAAATACCCCGTCAAGTAGGCAACTTAAGCAAATTAGAATAAATGATGAATACTATTCACACAGATCCAACCAAATGAGACAATGAGCATCTTTCTAAATAACGAATAAAGTTTCCAATTATTCAGGTAAGCTACTGCTATAACATTGATTACCAGGATTAATCAGTCTGGACTTCTCAAAAGCACTGCAGTTGTTTGTTATAGGAGCCGACTGGGAAGCGAAGTGCTGGGTTCCCCGGGGGGATGAAGGGGTTCATGAAAAAGATCATCTGAGTAAGAAACTGAAGCTTGTGGTGGAGTCATGAGTCCAGTTGCAAGTGATGGCAGAAAACTGAGTGCAGTGGAGATGTACTGTTGTGGTCCCACGTTCTATGTGGAAAGCAAACAATGGCTAGTAGTTACGGATCTTTGAGGTGCTGTCATCGATTTTGACTTTGTATCTGAATGACCGTTTTTCGGGGTATTGATTACATGTAACCTTTTGTGATTGTGCCGCTTTAAATCCAACTGTTCCGATAATATATGTTCCTTAAAGCTTTGCGTGTGCCATTTGGTTTTACATTGTATTTGTTGGTAAATCAGATTTAGAATATAAGGATAGAAGGCTCTTGTTGCCTATGTTAATCCCCGTGATATATATCTCAGCAGAGATCCAGTTTCTCTTTGAAAGCGTTCAGTGATGGAACTGTTACTACTGAATCAGGTAAGGAGTTCCAGTCGTTGACCACTCTGTGAGAGAATCTAAACTCCAACCGTATTTTATTTGACCTCGGTTTGAGCACCGACTTCTGGTGACTCCGTAAATGTATCCTAGAGGGAGAGAAAAGTTTTGAAAGGTCAATCCCTAAATCACCCTTGAATACACGGTAAGCCAAAATTAAGTCACCTCTCCTCCTTAAGTATGATAATGCGAAGAGATTTAAATACTCCATCCTCATGTCGTAAGGAAGGTGTGAGATACCACTAACTAATTTCGTTCCTACCCTCTGTACTCTTTCCAGGGTATGTGCCTCCTTTTTGAAGCATGGACTCGCCGTTTGTATGTAGTACTCTAGATGAGGCCTGACATATGTTGCATAGAGTTCTTGGAACATACCCTCGTCTAACCGTTTGAAACCCCTTAGAAGTGCCCATAGCACTCGAAAAGCCTTAGCTGCGACTCGATTACAGTTTGCCGTTGTTTTTAAGTCATGGCTTACAATAATTTCTAAGTCCTTTCGTCCCCTAACATCTGGCAGCTCTGTCCCCCAGGGAGTACGACGTGTAAGATTTCTGACCTAGGTGCATTACCATGCTTTTCTTGGAATTAAATTCCAGACTCCAAAGGTTAGTCCATTCAGTTTATTTATCTAGATCGTTTTGTAGTACTAACCTATCATCGTTACTGTTTACGGTTTTCCATGTCTTAATACCGTCCGTAAATAGTAGGGAAGATGAGGTAAGAATTTTCGGCACTTCATTTAAGTATAATAAGAATAGCAGGGGGCCAAGTACAGTTCCCTTAGGTACTCCAATTAGTACTGCTTTCCACCCTGACAGTACATCATTTTAACCCTTACAATCTGCCTCCTATCCATCGGGTAGTCACTAAACCACTCACATAGACGTTGGTCTAATCCAAAATGTTTAAGTTTATTAAGAAGACCCAAATGGGATACCTTATTGAATGCCTTACTAAGATCGATAAATACAACGCCCAGTAAATGGTTTTATCTCTGGTCTCGAACCAATCTTCCCTAGTTTACAGTTGGTTTGTAGGGCAGGATCGTCCTGGTCGGAATCCACGCTGTTCCACTGCTAGTAAGCCATGTTTTTCCGTATGAGCTAAGAGCTAATCCCTTATGAGTTTTTCTAACACTTTCGTTATAATGCAGGTCAGGCTTACAGGCCGGTAGTTAGATACTAACTGCCTGTTCCCATCTCTGAAGATGGGGCATATAAGAGCATCTTTCCAGTCCCTGGTTAGCCTAGCTTGGGTTAAAGACATCTAGAAAAATCTCCGTAAGTGGAATGTATATCCATATTCGCCAAGGAGATTAGCAATCTAGGGTGAAGTCTGTCTGGTTCAGGTGATTTCTAAATAGTTTAGTAGATAAATATGGTGAAGAAATATACCAAGTGGAGTTAGACTGACCATGTATTAGTGATGCAATAATTAGAATCCATCGTCATTCGCATAATCAAACCAAAGACATGGATTCTATGTATCGAAGATTTCTGCTTCAAATCTCAAGCGAATAAAAATACACTCCCCATGTAGCCACAACAAACATCCAGTGTCTTCAGCAATAAACACACATGTAACTCTAATCTGACACGATTCTACTACGACTAAAATTTCTTGCTCAAGAAGATGGTACCCACATGTCCTAGGCATCTGGATCCATTAAGATTGATAACTTTATCATCACTGAAGATTTAGACTTCAGATAAAATTAAAATTATTGCTGTTTTGCAAAGCAGATGGATAGACAATTCAAGGGAATCAAAAATATTTGCAGTCAGCTATTTGGAAAGCATACAGCTTGAATAGAAATTTCGTTATGGTTTCCATTAGAAACTGAAAATATCCACATAACAATAATGATAAGACGACGTATTTGACACTATACGCGACGATCGATAAAACAAACAAAGTAGCATGAAACCACTCACGTTGACTAGTAGTGCTTGTTAGCCACACCAAAAGGGACCTAAATACCAACAAGTTGGTTAGCTTGTCTGGTTCAGAGTATATCATCAGCGGTCTACCCAGATTGACTCAACTCAAAATCATTTCAAACAACCTTAATTCTAAACAGCTCGTCGATCAAAACGGTTTAATACATAGAAGGAAACCCACTATTTTCAAAGTACACAATTTTACCTGAAAACTCAAGGTATTCATTCGATTGCAGTGTAATCGAATCTAATTCGCACCAACCTAAATAATAGCACCGACAAATGTAGGAAGAAACGGTAACATCTATCTATATCTGACCAGCAAGGACTACCAGCTGATATGTGGTATACCACAGCTGCTCATATCAAATTCACTACTTCTGAATTAGTTCTCAGTTTCCCCAGTTCGAGGTGATTATTTCATCGTATTTTTTTGCAAAACCCAACAATAGGTCCCTATGCGTTCCTTTGATTTAGTTCTGTGAGCTGACTCATATCGGCTTCACTGTTGATGAACTAGGCTTCGAACGAGCGAAGCAGTTATCAGGTGTGAATACCACTATGATCTGGCCGGTTAGCAAAACACTCTACTGTTTGATGTGACAGGTCTGCAGCTACATAAATCAATCAATCAGTAGTATATATATAGTTTAAGTAATATTTATTGTCTTAGCACCCTTGTCTTGTGAATCAACATCTACCTAATTAATGCTTAAACCGAATACTATAACTTACCGAAACATTTCCATTTTACCAAGATCTGTCAGGAGAACACGTACAACCTTCTTCTCTGAGTATTCCACGTATCTATATTCAAAAAATTTACATCCCATATAAGTGATGCATAGAAGAAAGATTGCTGTGATAATTTTCACTGATTCAATTTGTGAGCATAAAGCTTTTGAATGTGGACCAAAATTTAAATAGAGTAAACGATTGACAAGTAGTGCAATGGTTAGCCAAACCTGCAAGTTAAAAAGAAACAAAACGAAAAGAATCACAATTATACTTGAGAAATCGGGAAATACATGCCGACAGTGTTGCGTTATAATATATATCGTGATGTTTCGCAGGAATTAGAATTTTGATGGGTAAATAGATTTTGTCTTAGCGACCTACTGGAGAACGATCTCACCGTGTAACCTAGGAATCCTAGGTTCCGCCCCTTTTGGAGTCACACATACATGCGTGCTGCTGAAGGCTCTAATAAAAGCCAGGACGAAACTGCAATCCAGTACTCTTTTGGCTTTCAATGATTTCCTAATCAAATTCAGTTCACTGTCAGTCTTAATAACTGGCAGTCGTTGGCTATTTTTTTTAGTACAGTTTGATTCCACACCGTATTTTTGGTACAGGTATGAAATTTTCAGCATGTGATGTCGGTAGCCCAATTTTTTAAGGCCGGCCATTGATGTCAGGTGTGCGTCGGCAGGCGATCGAACCCCGGATTATGTGCATGGTCAGCGAGAGTCCTAACCACTGTGCCACCGACGCACAGTAAAGCGTAGGTCTAATTGTTACACGACCGGCAATCACAATGCTACCAGTCACTGAATATGGTGGTCGATGAAATATAATTACCTTTACAAAGTTAAAAACCTTCAGAGAATATTCTTCTTGATAAAATATGACCGCAACATCAGAAAAACAGATAAAAGTGTGGGAGGGCTTGTAGATAAAAGCTGCAAATAAGCATATATTTCTTGCTTAAAACATTCTCTTAGGGCAAATACTGCAAACTATGTTTTAATATACCTAGGAAAAAGGCATACCTCCAGTATCCTTTGACAAATCTACATCCCTTCTAGAAGCGTTATTTTCTGCTTCACTTCCCTCTAGACAATTATTACGACTTAGACAAAAATTGTTACGCGTCTCGGTTTCTGCTTGGTGACTAAGTACATCAGTGCAAGTCAAGTGGACTGGCTTGATTTCTTCTACTCCAAACTTGTTTATGTCTACAATTGAGTTATGTGAAACTGATTTCTGTTTTTTGTTATGATCTGTAGATTTTCTGTCCAAATCTCGAGTGATATTCTGCTATTTATCGTCATCAACGACTGAAGAGATGATATTCTTGAAAGCTTGTATAAGTTTAAAGTAAGGCCGTTTTAGAGCTTCACGAGCCGTTGGTCGGTGCTTCGGGTTCCAAGATATTAGATCTAAAATTAGCCGAATACCTTCATGATTGGCATTAGAAAATTAGAGTCTGAAAGGGTATTGGAGACCACTGTGGAAATTTGAAATTCATAGCAGCAGCCAGCTGATATCCTTCGGGTCAATCGGTCATTTAGTAGATACATAATGAGTTATTAGATTCCTACTGACCCGACAGCTGAATTGTCAAGTGTTTGATTTGAAAACCAACGGGAATATGTTCAGTCTGTCACAAAGCTTTCTATGTGTACACTGCTAAATATTTTCAAACTAAGACGACAGTCATGTCAACGGTGCTTGCTGATACTCAGTGGTTCTCTACAATAAAAACCACTTAACAAAAAAATCTTACATAATAATAATAAGAGCTGTCAGTGGGACCATCTCAGACAGCATTTAATGGCAAAAAATAAGCGACCAATCTTCTTGATAGTCAAAATTAGTTTCAGTACGCGTAAAGTAGACTTATATTAATAGCTAAAAAAATTCCCACTGTCTTAAAAAACCAGAAGCGTTCCGTGGAGAATTACTATTTTTTACTAATACAATTCCCAAGCTACACCAGCACACATCAATAACCGTCTTTTGACTGATGGCTATGTATCGGTGATTAATAGGCGGGATGCCCATGCAAGTGGTCCGGGTGGTCGACTACCGGACACCGCACATCTAAACATCGCCAAACTGCAAAGAAGCCTGGAAACTAGAGTGAAGACTGGGCGTAAGACTGGAAAGCCCTCCACCGCCCCCCGTGTATAAACAACAAAACCACTACTGGAACTTCGAAGCTTAAGAATTTGGAGCCTTATGTCCCACTTGTTAACTTAAAGGTAGGAAAAGACTCATGGCTATCTCAAATAGCTAACAGCCAATGTTATATTTCGATTATTGAACCTTACACGCAACCTGATGGACCAACCTTACTGGTCATGACTTCTCAGTAGAGCTCCAGTCAACAGCATCCTGTAGGCAGTCAATTAGGAGTGGTGGTGAGGGATTTGATTGACACTAGTTCATATCACTAAATAACTTCAGTTAAGGAACCATTGAAAACTGCGGAGTACCTAATACTCTGTGTATGTTTGTGCGCGTCAGGTGGTGATTCTAGCCATTTGCTGAAACTGAATGGGTCGAGTGAGATTTGAACACTGTGAACCCATTGACAGGAAATTGACTGCTTAGACCAACAACCCTCAAACACACACACACACATCTCTATCATTTTCACCCATAGTCTAATCGCATACCGTAAAAACAAAAACAAAAAACCTCGAGACATTGTCGCTTATTACCTTTTCAAAGCTTTTCTCACTCAAATATTTACCAGTCTTAAACTGTGGGGAAATACTGTCAAGATTTGAAACTAATTTTTTACGAAATTAATTTTGTCTGAATTACACACACACACACATTGGAAAAAAAATAATTTTTCACAAGAAGAATATTAAATAAAAAATAATTTCACAGATTTGAAAAAAGAAACATACAAGAAAAAATAACAACCACGAGAACCATGTATGCGCGAAATATCAGAAAATTTAGCTTGTTTTTAGAAAAATAAAATCAGAAATTCAAAGATTGGCTTTTTAATAATTATTTTACACCAAATTTTATTCCACTATAGATGCATAAACCCAGTGGTGAAAGTAGTTGTTAACAGTAAAATATTTAACTAAGTCACTTACGTGAGGACCAGATTAAACAAGTGAAAAGCAACAAGTTGGCAGAAGAAGCATCCAGAGAAGATAGGACTTCAGGTGAAGAAAGAGAAAACAGAGGTAGCTGATAAAGATTCCTGGTCATTAGCAACGGCAACAGACAACAATCAGCCAGAATAATTGGGAGGAACCTGAAAGAAACAACCTCCTGTACCTACCCACCTACCTATGAAACATCGTTTCAACTACAGGCGGACGGAACTGACGAGGATATCAAAGCTGCGTGGATCGGGAAATCAATACAAGCTTTCATTACTCTCAAGTCTGTGTGGAGGTCAACAGCACTTAGCATCAAAAATAAGATCCGGATTTTCAACTCCAATGTGAAGTCAGTGCTACTTACCACACTGATCAGAGACTTGGCGCGTCATAAAGAGTACCTCAAAGAAACTGCAGACCTTCATTAACAGTTGTCTTCGCTCAATAGTCAAGATCAGATGGCCGGCCAGAAAAGATCAGCAATAGGGAGGGATCTCTGGCAATGAGCGAACCAACACAGCAGGAACCGATTGTGAAACAAATAGGCAGGAAGAAATGGAGGTGGTTTGGTTGGCTATACTCTGAGAAAAACATCAAGTGACATCACTAGACAAGCCATAGCTCGAGTGGAACCCGAAAGGGAAGCGACGAGTTGATCGTTAGTGTGTGAGTGACTTGGAGGAGGTCATGTGAAGAGGAGATGAAAGCATGTGGGCGGACATGAAGTCAGGTGAAAACGTTGGCAGAGAACCAAACGTAATCGAAACGCGCGGCTGAAGTCCTATGTTTCCCTAGGAATTAAAGGAAATAGTAATATTATAATAATAGTTTCGTGAGGACAGCAACCTTATTAATTGAATGATGGCAGCGCATCACAATATTACTCTAAATCTGCGGATTCGTATTACCGGTTTGATCATGAGATGACATCAGTTAGGTGAACGACTGGACAAACGGACAAATGTGCGGCAGTTCAAGTCGCCACACTCCCTCCATGTAGCACACAAAGCAAGAGAAGAAAGTAGAAGAAATGCATAATAGAAACAGTAAACAGAGGTGTGAGACAAAGGAATAGTAATAACGAAGAATAATATAGTTTCATTGGAAATCATAAGTCACAAGGAGTGGATGCATCTGCGCCAGCCACTGAGAACGATTTTGAGCCATATCAGCAATTGTTTCCAACCATTAGTTTTTACCGTCCCAAGGACCCAAACCAGTTTGTCAGCAGGGTAAGCAACGTGACACTTAACCAGCTTGTTAATATTCTGGTCGACAGGCACTTGGACACATGTGAAAAAGGGGCTAAATCCATTTTATCTAACTCACACCACCCTCTTCATTCACAACTCTCCCTTTGTATCTATCTCATCAGGGAGGACCAGAAGCCTATATAGAAAACTATATGCTCACACTAGAAAGTACAGAAACTCAACCATACTCTACTTAGCTCGTGTTCTGTGCGATGAAGAAAGCATTAGGCGTGAAACGTATAACTAATTAAATAGTCAGTAGAACAATTGGATCTCATCTTTCCAACTCACATCATTTATGGCTACAACGTTTTCTTTCTTTCTTTTCCTCTTCTCCCTCTCTCCTCTTTTTGTTATGTGCTGTTTTGTTTCTCTCTTCCTTACAAACTCTACTTAAAACATACTTCTTCGTTCTTTCACACTCTGTATATCTCGACCGTTTTGTTAACGCTTACGCCAGTAAACATGCTCGTATCTACTTTTCTAACACCTTCAAACACTCTGTTCAATTTTTGCCTTTGCTATTGACATGGTAATATGTTGTTGTCAAAACTAATCGAGATTACCCTCAATCTTTGTAGAATTTTATTTATTGTTAATGTACTAACTGGATGCAATACTGTAGTAAAATGCTGAGAATTCCATTCTGTATCACAAGTACTGTTTTGGAATAAAGCAAATTATGATTATTATGAAGCCATTTAAAAGGATTTCTTCTACATCTTTTACAATGTATTAGGAAAAACTTGAACTTGATATTCAGAACCCCAGTCACCTATTATTACCGTGGCCTTAGTTACTGTCACTTTCTTCTTTTCTGAATTGTTGCATAATAAACTCTATGTAGTCTACTTTTTA